CCCCAACCATGTTTCCAATAGGTTTGCCGACAAGGCCAAAAGGCGCCCCTCGGTAAGCCCCCAGAGGCCCCCCTCTTAGAGAGCCGAACAAATCATGCTCCCGGAAAGCTTCCCGGGAACATGATTCTCTATCTCGGAGTAGGCACGAGGGGGGTGGGGCGGGCCGCTGCCAGGTGCCCACCAGGGGTTGCGGGGGGGGGTCCAGAGCTCCCGAGGCGGCCCGAGCCCGCCCCGAAGCAGGCCGCGACAGGCTAAGGGGATCCCGAGAGGGCCCTAGACGGTCCCACGAGGCCCCGAAGACGCCCAAGATGCCCTCAAGACAGCCGACGAGGACTCTAACACGCTCCAGGACGGACTCAAGAGGCTCCCCAAGAGGGCCCTGGAAGGCAAGATTCACTCGTTTTCCGAGTGTTTTGGATTTTGGCGTTCTCGCTTTTCCCGCTTTCCAGCGCTCCCTCACGGCCTCGCTCGGAGGCCTTTCAGATCGCTCCAAGACGGGCCATGAGGCCCCAAAGAGGGCCCCAAGACGGCCCAGGAGGCTCTTCAGACAACCCAACTGTGCCCCAAGAGCTCCCCAAGAGAGGGCCCAGAGGGGGACCGCCAACCGATATTTCGAGACCTCTGGCCCTAGAGGCCGCCTGTAGGCCCCCGGAGGCCACCAAGAGGCTCCCCCTCGGGAGCTTTGGGACGGGGGTCGATGCAAACGGGGGTCAGCCAGAGCGCCAGATCTCGCAGGATCCTGCAGGGCCAGGCTCCCATTGACCCGGGTTTGGGTGCAGGATCCTGCAGGATTTTGCAGGATCCTGCGCATTGACCCGGGTTTGGGTGCAGGGTCTTGCAGGATCTTGCAGGATTCTGCAAGCCCTGGCTGACCTGGGTCTGGGTTGACCCGGGTCAGGAGATCCCCGACCCCCGAAGCCACGTGAGGCGCCCAAGAGGCCCCCAGGAAGCCCCAAGAGACCCCCAAGGGGCTCCCAGGGAACGCCCAAGAGGCCCCCCAACACACCCCAAGAAATCATGTCCCCAGAAAACCTTCCCGGGACATGGTTCATCATGGGCCCGAGAGTTCCTGGAGGCCCCCAAGGGGCTTCCAGGGAGCGCCCAAGAGACCCCCCAACACACCCCAACAAACCCCAGAAAGCCTTCCGGGGACATGGTTCATCATGGGTCCGCGAGTCTCCGGAGGCTTCGAAGTACCATCATGCTACAGGAGAGCTGTCTGGGAAGTTGATTGGGGACATGACTGATCGCCTTCTCGCGGCCCTCCGCAGATCGTTTCGCACAAAGTTGCCCCAAGTGACCTCTTGAATCGACGACGACGACGACGGAACGACGACGACGACGTTGACGACGACGACGACGACGACGTTGACGACGACGACGACGACGACGACGACGACGACGACGACGACGACGACGACGACGACGACGACGACGACGACGACGACGACGACGACGACGGCGCGCCTCAATAGGCGACGACGACATTACGACGACGACGACGGCACGCCCCAAGAGGTTCCCCAAGACGCCCCAAACCCATGCTCCCAGAAGGTCTTCTGGGAACCTGATTCATACGGCCTCCGCCCCCCTACACAACCAAGTTCCTCGAAGGCCTTTCGGAATGCAGATTGGCATGCGTGGACTGTGGTCCACTGCTTCAGTGGAGCAGTGAATTCGTCAAGGCCTGGGGCCTGCTAGAACCTGAGCGCGCGCGAAGCGCGCGTGATGGTTCTAGTACATATATATATATGTATAAATAGATACACAGGCATGCATACACTTTCTGCGCTCCCCGCGGACTTCTTGGATCAGCGCCGGGCCCCCCTGGCGGCGCCTCGGGCTCCGCACCTGGCGCGCTCCGCGCGCCAGTGAGGGTTGCCCAGCGCCGATCCAAGAAATCTGCGCGGAGCTCCAAGAGTTTACGTCCATGCTACTGGTCGTTCCTCCATCGTCAGGAGAGGCATCAACACAGACACAGCCCATCGTCGATCCCTAGGAAAATTCGGACACATGGGAAGTGGAGGGGGAGACGAAAGTCCAGAACCTATGAGCAATATGGGGAATCCTCGGCTTTGTATCAATTGATTTGTGCGTCCGGGATATCTTTTGAGCATTCTAGAGTCCATGGACGCCGTTGAAGAAGCACAGGAAGGCAAACTCATTGCAAGCCAGTCACAAGCGCACACTCACCAGTTCAGGGCCCAAGCTTGCAATCTTGAAGTACTGCTGCAGGTGAAGGACTTAGCTTGGCCCGCAGCCCCAGTACCCCGCTTTCCCTGCGGACGGGATGCCGCTGAAGAAGCACAGAAATGCAAGCCCACCAAGCGCGAACCTGAAACACAGAGACCAGCGCCAACTAACATCGTTGAAGACATGACAATCCAAGCTTTCGCGACTGAGCCAATCGGCGGTCAAATGATCGACCAGGGCCACGCGGGGCCCGTGTATAGCTGCAGCTTGTACATGTTATAAGGAGAGCCTGAATATTCGCTTCGATCTCAGCCAACCTTGTGCTGGGATGCAACTCCTGGGAGGTTACATTCAGCATCGGTGCTGGTATGCCCGTGATTGAAAACCGGCCTAATCCGGCATAGTCCCGCTTAATCCATGTCTTTCCGGCTCACTTGGGCCGAGTCTTCGGTTTATTGGAGAGGCCTGACGGCCGGTGCCGCCGACCCTGATCGAAAGGGCTAGGAGTGGGGGGAGGAAGCGGAGGAGGAGGAGGAGGAGGAGGAGGAGGAGGAGGAGGAGGAGGAGGAGGAGGAGGAGGAGGGAGGAGGAGGAGGGATGATGAGGAGGAGGAGGAGAAGGAGGAGGAGGAGGAGGAAAAGGAGGAGGAAGAGGAGGAGGAGGAGGAGGAGGAGGAGGAGGAGGAGGAGGAAAAGGAAGAGCATCCTTTGTGTGCCCGCTCGAAGAAAGTCCGCCCCGGGAGTGTGATATTCTGACTTGGGACGTGCTCCCGGAAGAGGAAGAAGTGCATCTCGGGCGTGCCCGCTCGAGGAAAATGCGCCCTAGGGGGGTGGTATTTTGACTCGGGGCCCGCTCCCGGGACGCCTCTGCGGGAGGAGGAGGAGGAGGAGGAGGAGGAGGAGGAGGAGGAGGAGGAGGAGGAGGAGGAGGAGGAGGAGGAGGAGAGGAGAGGAGGAGGAGGAGGAGGAGGAGGAGGAGGAGGAAAAGGAGGAGGAGGACCAGGAGGAGGAGGAAGTGCATCCCGTGCCTGCCCGCTCGAGGAAAGTGTGCCCCGGCGGGCGTCGTATCTGCCTCCCCCCCCCCCCCCCCCCCCCGTCCCTCCCCCCCCTGCGGGGAAGGGATCAAAGGGAAGGGGCTTCCCTTCGACTCCATTACGACGTCATTTAATTTCGCTTTGGATAGCGCGGTGGAGGAGGAGAGCCCTGGGAGGGGGAAAACGGAGACGACGGAGACGACGAGTCGACCAGAAAAGCCCCTCACACACCCCGACAGGGTCGGCGGATTCGGGTGTAATTTGGCTTCGCAGAATTCTTATCGGGTTGAATTGCCCTTACCCGTTTTTACGAAGGCCTCGTAGAAGTTGCCTCCTAGCTTGTGCGCGCGTCAGGGCAATCAGTCACGATGCGCTTGACAGCGCGTCTAGGTTGCCGCAAGCTCGGCGACGCTGAGCGCCGGGGCAAGAAATGGCTGTGGGTCCGCCTCGAGCCGCTCGTTCTTCAGGACGGACATGAGGGGGAGGGGTGACCCGCGACGCCTCGGAGGCCCAAACCGGGCTAACCAGGTCGAAACGACTCGATCTTCGATTTTCCTCGATCTTTTGACCTCTCAGCAGGCAGCCGACAATCAATAAACTTGTGGCCTGCTGGCGGAGGATCACGGACAGGAGGAGGAGGAGGAGGAGGAATAATAAATTTAAGAATAATACTAATACTAATAACAAGAAGAAGAACATATGAAGAAACAGAAGACTAATAATAATAAGAATAATAATAATAAGAATAAAAAGAATACTAATACTAAGAAGAAAGCGAATACTCATATGAAGAATAATAATACGAATAATAATACTAATACTAAGAATAAGAAGACGAATAAGACCACGCAGCAGAAGACTCAGAAGAATATTCATAATACTAATAAGAAGATTAAGGAAAATAGGACGAACAATAATAATACGAATAATAAGAATAACAAGAGTACTAATACTACTAATACTAAGAATAATGATAATACCAATACTACTAAGAATGCTAATACTAATACTGAGAAGAATACGAATAAGACTAATAATAACAATAATAAAACTAATATTAATCATAATAATAAGAATACTACGACGAAATACTAATAATATTAGTATTATTAATAATAATAAGAATGATGGTAATAAGAAGAAGACGAATAATAAGAATACTATAATAATCATAACAAGAAGAATCATACTACTAATAAGAAGAATAAGAATAATAATAAGAAGAACAAGAAGAATAAGACTAATAATAATAAGATTAATAATAAGAGGAAGAGTAATACACATAATACTAATAATAGTCAAACTAAGAATAATAATACTAATAACACTAATACTAATAATTAATAATAATACTATTAATAATAATACTATGACTAAGAACAAGAATAAGAATTATAATACTAATAATAATAGTACTACTAATAATAATAATACTAACAATGACACTATTAATAACAGTAATAATGATACTAATAATAATACTACTATTAATAATAATAATGATAATAACACTGATCATAAAACTATGATGAAGAAGAAGAAGACGAATAATAATAATAATAAGAAGAATAATAAGAATAATAATAATAATAAGAAGAATAAGAATAATAATAATAATAAGAATAATAATACGACTAATAAGAATAATAGTAAGAAGAAGAAACAGAGGAAGAGGAGGAGGAGGAGGAGGAGGAGGAGGAGAGGAGGAGGAGGAGGAGGAGGAGGAGGAGGAGGAGGGGGAGGGGGAGGGGGAGGGGGAGGGGGAGGGGGAGAGGAAGAGGAGGGGAGGGGGGGGGATCTGGAAAGGAGGGGGATGAGGAGGAGGAGGAGGAGGAGGAGGAGGAGGAGGAGGAGGAGGAGGAGGAGGAGGAGGAGGAGTCCTCGCCCGCGAGGAGCGGGCTGATGGGGCGCTGGTGACCTCGGCCCAGGAGCACAAGAAGGGGCTCATGCGCTGGAACGACCCAGAATGGACGGCCACGGGCTCGCTTCCCTCCCCGGGCCTCCTGGCGAAGTGAAATTGGCGACGGAAGTTTTAATTGTTCTGTGCTGTTTTTGTTTTGTTTTATGTTTTGCTGTTCTCTTCCTGGGATGCTTTCCATCAGCTGCGTTTCGTCGAGAGCGCTCTGGACGTCCCGAGTCGTCCCGAACGGCCGCTGGAGGCCCGAGTGATGGCCTGACATCCAGACCTCCTCGCGCAATGAAAATATGGCGACAATGTGTTTTTTGTATCGGCCTCCTGGGGATCTCAACGGGCCCCGGCAAACTCAACACCGAAGACCTGTGGATGAAAACGATCCCGGGAGCGTCAAACGACACAGAATGAAAGACTTATCCCAGGGAAGGGGTAGAGACCTCGGGGAGCCCATGCTGCGAAACATATCACGATGCCAGGGGTCTCAGTCCCTTCGCCTCCTCCTCCGCTTGGCGTTGACGCCGTGTTTTTTTTGTTAGGGGGGATCTCCAGGGGCCTGCAGAGACCTCTGGAGCTTCCTCCTCCTCCTCCTCCTCCTTCCCTGTCCCTCCTCCTCCTCCTCCTGCTCCTCATCCTCCGTCTTCTCCTCCTCCTCCTCCTCCTCCTTTCCCATCCCTCTTCGTCGCAGACAACTCCTCCCTGTCGCACCCCCAGACGTGTCGGTAGGACGGGCCGGGCGTTTCGCCTGACACTACCTCACCGCTTATGTTCCTGAAGCTTGAATCTCGCAACGGCTTCATCGAAGGAGCGCGATTCACTTCCAACATGTGGCTTTCGCCTCATGTCGTGCACATTTATCTTGAACGCCTGCCACAATTTCACTGATGGAGGGCGTGAGGTTTTCAAAATGTGGCTCTCGCCGTCGCACTGCGCACATGCGTCTTAAAAGTTTGCAGCAGTTTCACGGATGGAGGGTGGTGGTTTTCAAAGTGTCGTTTTCGTCCTGGCGCTGAGCATGTTCGTGTTAAGAGTTTGCAAGCTACTCACGGCTGGAGTTTGCAACAGTTCCACGGCAAGTGTGGCTCTTGCTTTAGCGCCGTACCTGTTCGTTTCAAACGTTTGCAGCAGTTTCACGGGGTCGTATGACTGAAGTCCCAGGAATGATATTCAGGCACGATTTCAGATTGACGCAACAATCTTTCTGATTCTCTGTGTTGAGATCTCAGGAAAGATGTTCTGGTAAAATTTAGGGTTGTCAGGGCACAACAGTTACGTTGATCCGCTGCGTTGAGGTCCCAGGAACGGCCATTGAGCACAATTGAGGATTCTCAGACGGTTGTCTCCTAATGGGCCACTTCCGCAATGAAGATACATTCTTGTAGGGACCTATGAAGAGGGAACTTGAAGGGAGGGTTTCTTGCAACATTATTGATGCGTCTTGGGTTTGCGCTGATTCTTCTCATCCTCCTATTTTGTATGCTACCTCGTAATGAACACCAGCGAATTCCTGCGACTTCTGTTTTTTTGTATGCTGTTGTTACGAAGCGCAAGTTTATGTCTTGGGCATCCAGAGGCCTCTGGAGACATCTGGGGACCTTTGGTGACCTGGCCCTCCTCCTCAGCCTCCCCCCCTTCCTGCGCGCGCTCCCTCGCGCGCTTGGAAGTATGCGCGCGCGGGGGTTGGGGAGGAGAGGGAGGAAGGGAGGGAGGAAGGGAGGGAGGGAGGACGGAGGAGAACGAGGAGCAGGACGAGGAGGAGGAGGAGGAGCCATGGCTTGAGGGACGTATTACCTGTCCGCGATCTCCTCTGCGGCTTATCGTGGCTTCGCATGAGGACGTACTTCGACGTCGCCATGATCGGCGTCAGAAGCGGGGACGGCGGCTTAGGCTGCAAGTCCTGGCGCAGAGAGCCAAGAGAACCATGGGGTGGCCCAGTGACGCTGCTCTGAGTATGATGCTGATCACGTCGATGATGATGCTGATGAGGGTGATGCTGATGCTGATGTTGATGATGATGCTGATGAGGATGATGATGGTGGTGGTGGTGGTGCTGATGATGGCGCTGCTAAAAGGAGGAGGAGGAGGAGGAGGAGGAGAAGGATCATGAACATGATGATAAGATGGAGGACAAGGACGGGAACAGTAGGGATGATCTTGATACCCTGAAGTGAGAGGGGTCGGGGGTGCATGGACCAGCGTTTCGTCTGAGAGGTCCCACGACCTGGGTGCGGACTGGCGAGTGTATCATCCCTTGGCGGCTCCCCCTTGGGGTGCACAAGCGCTATGTCTAGTACACGGCGGATGGCGGTGGGCATGAAGCTCTGAACGGAGAGGAGCTGGGGGTGCCCTCACCAGCGAGCCGCTTAATGCATCCCCACAATCTACACTCGAACGGGCAAGTGCAACACCCTTTGGCGGCTCCTCCTTTGGTTGCCCAGGTGTTACGCTCCCTATACCGAGGTGATCATGAGGCTCACAAAGAGGAGGCCGTCGGGGGCGCCCAGCGAGCGAGTCGCCTATAGCCGCGAGCAGGGGCATGCAGCACCCCTTGTCGGCTCCTCCCTGGGGTGCTCGAGAGCTTTGCCTGCTGCATCGAGGTGATCACGAGCCTCCATAAGGCAGGCGTCGTGGCCGCCACTCGAGCGAACCGCTCGAGACACCCCCACGATCTGTGCGCCAACAGGCAAGTGTAATATCCCCTGGCGGCTCCGTGAGGTGCTGAATGCAATGCCTCCTACGTCGAGGTGATCGTGAGGGCCGCAAAATACGGGAGTTGTGGCCGCCAAGCGGGCGACCCTCCACAAGCTCTGCGCGACCAGGCAGGCGTGATACCCCCTGGCGGCTTCCTGAGGTGCTGCATGCTATGCCTTGTATGTCGAGGTGTTCATAAGATTTTCAGAAGAGGAGTCGACGTCGCCAAGCGAGGGAACCGCTCGAGACATCCCCAGACTCTGGGCTCCAACGGGCAAGTGTAATACCCTCTGGCGGCTCCTCCTTGGGGTGCTCGAGTGCTATGCCTGCTTTACCGCGCTGGTTATGAGGCTCTGAGCAGAAGAGTCGTGGCCGCCAAACGAGGGAACCGCTCGAGACACCCCCCAAAGCTTTACGCGAACGGGCGAGTGCGATACACCCTGCGGCTCCCCCGCCTGGGGTACTCAAATGCTATGCCGGCTGCATCGCGGCGAGTGTGAGTGAGCTCGTGTGTGAGTGAGTCTGTGTGCAAATGAGCCTGAGCATGAGCGAACCGAGGGCGATCGAGGCCGAGCATGAGTGGATATGAGCGCGAGGTGTGAGGTCTGAGGGTGAGAAGGTACGAGTGTGAGCGAGTCTGAGTGTATGAGTCTGAGCGTGAGTGAGAGTGAGTCTGAGTGAACTGAGTGTAAGTGAGTCTGAGTTTGAGTGGTCTGAATATTTGTGGTGGGCGAGGAAACGGAGGAGGGAGGAGGCAGGAGGCGGGAGGTGAGGAGCGGGAGGCGGAGGCATCACACTACGAACAACAACCCCATTCTTACGATATGGGGAAAAAGGGAGGGCCACCGAAGAGATTCCTACAGCTTGTGATTAGGCGACATGTTCAGAAGCTACCATGTGGGCATGACACAGGTTATAGTAAAATTGGAAGACTGCAGTGTGAGCCAAAGGAAAATACATGCTACCCGACAGGTTCGATGCAACACCACTCAATTCCACTGCATCTCTGAAGGTTTTCTCTTGGGCTGCTGAAGGACGACACAAGGAACAGTTGAACAACTAATGGTTCGTTGATAAAGATGTAGCACATGGTGTTTTTGAAGGATTCATGTTAACATATTGGGAATCTTCATGCGGGGTGCGTGAGGGGTGCGTTGGGAGTGCGTCCGATCTCAGATTTTCATAGTGTGAGGATGTCCCGAGGCACACGGCCAGACAAAGAAGAGGACGGGAGGGGACGGCTTTACCAATAATCGATTCTGAGCTCTAATCTCTCGGAGAGGTGCGCATGACCGTGTGTGTATCATGTGTGCGCGTGTGTGTATACACACACATGGGTGTGTGTGTGTGTGTGTGTGTTGGGGCCAAAGACCTCCCGGGCCCCTCAGTGTACATCAAGGGCTCCCTCCCTTCCCGGAGCCTCCCCGGGGCCTCCCAGTCTGCCCCAGGAGGCTCCTGGAGCTTCACAGACGTTCGCAGAATGATCCAAAGTGGTTCCGAGAAGTCCCCAGGCTCCCCAGAAGGCTCCCAGAGCTCCACAGAAGCTCCAAGAGGACCTCTTGACAGTTCTAAGATGGTTCTGAAGTGGCCCCAGTGCCTCGCAAAGGCGCCCCCGATGGCTCAGAATCGCTCCAAAACACAATGCTTCTAACTGTTTTTTTGTTCCCTCTCTCTCTTTCTCTCTCTCTCTCTCGTTTTTTCGCTTCCGATCGGAGTTTGAAGATTCTGGATGGGGCGATCTTGGGGTCCTTTAGGGCCGTTTGGGAGCGTCGGGAAGCCGAACAGGCGAGAACGCCCAAAACCTTCAAACACCTAAGGAAAGTCAAGGACTTTGGCCTCTTGGGGCCCTCTTGACCTCTTGGAGGTCTCTTGGGGCGTCATATACACATCTGTATACACATGCATGTGCCTACACACGCATATATATATATAGATATATGTATAAATGTATGTATGCATGCATGCATGTAGGTATGCATGCATGTCAGTCTGTCTGTCTGCCTGTATGTATGCATGTATGCATGTATGCATGCATGCATGCATGCATGTATGTATGCATGCATGCATGTATGTATATATGCATGTAATACATGTAATGTATATATGTATGTATGTATGTGTGTATGTATGTATGTATGTATGTATGTATGTATGTATGTATGTATGTATGTATGTATGTATGTATGTATGTATATATGTATGTATGTGTGTATGTATGTATGTATGTATGTATGTATGTATGTATGTATGTATGTATGTATGTATGTATGTAGATTGGTAGATAGGTATGTATGTATGCATGTATGTATGTATGTATGTAGGTATGTACGTACGTATGTATGTATGTATGTATGTATGTATGTTTGTATGTATGTGTGTGTATATATACATATCTGTATGTGTATATGCATGTATGCACGTATGTATGTAAGTACTCATGTATGTACGTATGTATGTATGTATGCACGCACGTAGGTAGGTACATACGTACATATGTACGTACGTACGTACGCACGCACGGACGTATGCATGCATGCATGCATGCATGTATGTATGTAGGTATGTATGTATGTATGTATGTATGTATGTGTATGTGTAGAATGTGCATCTGCATATGCATACACACATACAGACACACTGACATGCACACAGACAGTCAGGCACACAGGCAGACAGATGGGGATATACACATATATATACACACATATAGAGAGAGAGAGAGAGAGACAACAAACAGAGAGAGAGAGAGAGAGAGAGAGAAAGAGAGAGCGAAGTCAGGTTTCCTGGCGTCCTCGAGGATGAGGGCCAAGCTGCTGGGACCTGCGATGCAGCGGCAGGGGCTCAATGAGAAGCTGTGGGTTCGCAACCTGGGGCACGAGCCCTACGGGCGCAAGGTCCTCCGCACGCAGGAGAAAAGGCGCCTGGCGGCCATGCTGGAGCGACAGTGGCGCCTGGCCATGCTCAGGAAGGCGGCGGGGCGGCGTGCGGCCACCTTGGTGGCCGCTGGCCTGTCCCCTGCGGCTAGGCACGGAGCAGGGGTGTCAGGCTTGGCGGACAGGCCGCTACAGTCGGGGCCTTGAAGAAGGAACGCTTTTCGTTGGGGAGGGGCTCGGTGTTCCTTAATTGCGTTTTCCTTAAGTTTTCGATGGGAAGTCGAAGTTTAACTTACGGAAAAAGGGGGCCTCGTTCCTTATTTAGGGTTCCTTAGGTCAACGCCTCGACTGTAGCCCAGCTGCGCGCACTGGCGGCCGAGACGGCAGGGGCTAAAGCAGGCTGCGGCACGGCCGCCGTCATGCTGTTGCAGAAGCGTGCCGAGTACGACCCCATCTACATGGCCACCGTCCCTCTGGTGATGCGCCTGGCGAGCCGCATCTGGGACGGCAGCGGCTCGCTTGCGGCCTTCTCGGCCAGCTGGGACCACGTGGCGGCTGTGGCCAGAGCGGGTAACCTCACCTGGGCCACGGCGCGCGGCCCCCTGGCGGCGACCTGGCTCTCTCTCGAGCGCATCGGCTGGAGCATGGTGTCGGTGAAGGCGGACACGGGCGACTCCTACTCCTTGCTGCCCTCGGCGCTGGGGGACATCAGGGATGCCTTGGTCGAGGGCATCCAACGCTGGCCGTGCCGCCGTGTGGTTGGGCACCTCCCTGAATGCAACGGGGAACACCTCTGGCCATGAGCCGTGAGGGCCATCGCCCTTCGGGCAGGCGTTGCCGCGGAGAAGGGCGCGCTCCAGGTTCTTTAGTCGGGAGGCCAGTACACCAATGCGTGGAGGTACATGCATGGCTTCACGGACGCGGCCCAGTGCCAGGCGTGCGGCGAGCAGCGCGACATGCTGATGTATCGTTGGTGCGTCTGCGCAGGAGCACGAGGAGCCCTTCCGCAAGCCGTTGGAGGCGATCCGCGAGCAGTTGCACGAAGCGGAGCAGCTCTGGACGGTGGGCGACAGCTACCTGCCCCTGCCGTACGGCCTGCCGTTGCTGCCTGCGCTGCCGCCAGCCGCGCCGCTTGTGCATTCCGTCATCGGCTGGGGCGCGGTGCAGACACCTTGGCCGTCGGTGGTGTATACGGACGGTTCGGGCCACGCTTCCTGAGGCCCGCAGGTGCGGCTGGGCGGTGGTGGCCCTCAGGCCCGACGGCTTCCCGCTCAAGGCTGCCTGCGGCCCGCTGCCCAGGGGCGCGGCAAACAGTGGGGCGAGCAGAGCGATTCGCCTGCCTGGCGCCACTTGAGCAACGTG